AGTCCCATATGGGTGTTTAACTTTGTGTGAATGGGGAAGGTTAGGGCCAGCAACCCTTGGGGGGGGGGGTTAGGGTTAATATGACAAGCATCATGGCAACAGCCATGGAAACAGGCCTTTCTTATTGAGCCACTCACCTGGAGGAGTCCGTACTTGATCTCAACCTCATACAACTCGTGACCCTTGATGTTCTCGGGGACCGGGCTCAGGTTGTCATGGCGGCCGAGGATGTTGGCCAGACTTGCAAACACCGGCTCGGTTGCAAAAGCCAGGCTGTCTCTGCCATTTGGACGGGGGGGAAAATGTGACAGAAAAAAAATCATGTTTCTCGTAACTCCCGAGGCCTTTTAGCCTAAATTTACCCAAAGATGATGACTAAAATATATTTACCATCTTGCAAACTGAAATGAGATATGCCAGAACCCATTCTGTAAAAACAGTGAGTATAAGGATCCTGGCAATCCCTAACAGTCCTCAATCCTTCACCTGTTGGAGGATTGAGGACTGTTAGGGTTAAAAATATCCAATCAAGGTTCTGGACTTCACATGTTTCTTAAATCTAGAGAAAAGTCCCAAGAAAAACAAGTATACCTTGACTCTTCCATTGGGGTTTGGACGGTCAATAAACAGGGGTGTCTGAGTCGGGTCAGCTGGGTGGGGCCCCTTCGCAAAACTTCCAAGACCGCCTCTCTGTCTTTCTTGTAAAAGCGATCCAGGAGTTTCTTTTCAAAGACAAAGATTGCAGCCTCCTGAGGAGAAATGAAGACAAATTCACCAGAATGATGTCTCTGAGAGTACACTTTGTCACGCTATGGAAGAGAATTGGTTATTTAATTAAAGAAGTTGACTTTCCTTTACTGTAAATTTGTCAGCAATTTTTACAGATTTCTGAAATGTACAACACAAAAGCGGGGCAAAGTTCAACTATCTATTTATGATTCTACATTAAGTCAGAAATCTCAGAAATTGAGGCAGTGTTAAGAGCCAACCCCAATGTCAGGAGTAATTTTGCCAAAAGCTACAACGTACCTGCTTGGTCGATCGCTTGACCCCGTGATAGATTTTCCACAGACAGGCCAGCCCGCCACTGGCAATCTGCCCTGCTGTGATGTCATACTGACTGACCACAGGGTTACCAATCAAACCCTCGACGGTGCTCTTCAGCCTGTTTAACATCTCCATGGTGATTAAGCTCCGCTCATCACTCAAAGGGGGTTGCCAATCTAATGCAAACTGACATCATAAAGGGGTTCCGCCTGCAGTTATTCGATCTAGAGATATAAACATCAAATCCATAAAAGTTTTCTTGGGTTTCAGAGATTTAAAGTCAAGTAACCAGATATGAGTGATTCAGCCCTACAGGTATCTGCAGTTAATCATACTTATTTAATGAAACAGCACATGGGGCATGTGGATGTCGAGCTGCACAGAACTGTCACAATCCATCCTGAGCGGCACTGCTGACCGCTGTTACCGCAGTCATGTCGCAAACAGGTTGCCAGAGCTACGGCTAGGTTTATAGTCTGTATGTCTTCGCGTATTTCCAATGTCATGGAGGCCTAGACCGAGCTCTAGACAACAAACTCAGATACAGTCTAACGTTCTTTAAGGTGACAACAAGCCCTTGGGACACAAACGTTTTTCGTCATTTAAATGATCAGAGCGAACAAAGCCATGCCGCAACGTGCAATTCAGACACTAAAATGGAGAGAATGGTGCATCCTGATGATTGAAAACAAAGTCTATGGGAGGCCAAGAAACCTTTCTTAGAGTTTCCATACACAATTGGAAACATTTCTCGGTCCCAAATTCTAGGGCTGAGTCAATTCGAATAATTCACTATTTGAATATTCGACCTTCAATTTGATTGAATCTGAATACATGTAATCGGTTGTGCCAAATGGCAGATCATTGATGAACAAACCATAAATCAGTTGAAGTAACGCACAAAATTGTACATTATAATCACTATAATAGCTTCAGGCGTCTAGGAGTAGCCCTGGTCGGAGAGTGCCTTCATTTATACTACAAATGCACTGAGCTAGTCTAGGGGCTTCTCCAGCCACGATTTAGCAACATTTAAGAGGAGAACAATACTTTTGAATTGTTGTAAGATACAGTTGCTTTTCAATTGAATCTGCTTGTAACAGGCCTCCATGAACCCCGTGCCCTGGATTACATGGGGTTTGGGTGTTTTATTTCACTTTGAGAAAAGTGTGGTTTGATGCAGTCACTTTCCCACTCTGGTTTGCGAGCTCTTCGCTGACAAGACTTCCGCCAAAGCTATTTTGACCGTGGAAATCTGCCTTTGACCTGGTTGAAATGGAGGCAACGGCCAACGGGGTTGCTAAAGTGCACAGAGGCATTTTGAAAAAAAAGAAGTTTAGAGCCAGGGCATGGATTGATTTATATTGTATCGATTGACTGAAATAGTTTTGATGGACCCACTTGACACCCTGTGCACAAACCCTATGCATGTGGCATATGTTTTTTAAGTTAACGACTTGGTTTTTCTCTCTCCTAAATTGAACCTGTCTTGACATGTTCTGCTTTCTGATGGGTAATTACTAGGCCACTGTAGGAAGCAATTACTGGCATTCGTATACTGGGTCATACGTCGTTTGAGTAGGCCGACATGCATGTTGTGCACGTGAACACTGGTAATGCCAATGGTGTGTATGGTGACAAAGTGTGTTTTTCCCTTTTGCATAGCTACTAGTTTCAGGCATGTCAGGGGTGTGCATTGTGAATGTCTTATGGTTAGTTGGAATATCAAACGTTTACTTCATGTACTTGTTCAACATTGAACACGTTGAGTATCAAACGTCGAAGAAAGAACGAGGAACTAGGCTAGTATGTGACTCAGATCATTTTCTACCCCAAGAACCATGAGAACTAGCGCTTCACAGGACAGAAATCATTTATAATTTATCAGTGTTATGTTCACCTGGACAAACCATATGAGACCAGTCTGAAAAACATCTGAGTTTCTGTTCCTTGCTCTATGGTTAAATCACAAATTAAAGTACACCAATAGCCCAGAAATTCTGTGATTAGTGAGTAAAAAGCAGAACGCCCACCTTGTAAGTTGTACCCTGTTGTACAATTTTTGTTTCACATCCAGAGAACGTCAAGTGCGCCCTCCATTGGCAACTCAGTTGCGGTAGTTCTCCATCAAGCCCCGGGCCGTGGTCGCGATGAAGTGGCGTTTTACTGTTGCCTTCAAGACGTAGCCATAATTAAGACACGACCCAACTCGTGGTGTTATCCTTTTGAATGATGAAGGCCGGGCATGAAAAAAAAACTTGTTTGAGCCATGTAAAAACTATAGACACAGGGTCACATTTTAATTGGTTTTAATTGAAATAACCCGAAATGAAAATGCGCTAGTCATGATGAAATTGCTAGTTTTTAAAGCAAGGAAATTTATCGTTGAATCCTAGGCTACTCACTTTCAGTACAGTAACAAACTCTACAAAACAAAGGTCGCAGTTTTTGTGAATAATGATGTTCATGAATGTCTCTACTAATAGTTTCTTTCCCATTCTTTTAGCCCCGGTCCACTTTTGTCATTAAAAAATTGTCTTTTGATGATTTAAGAAGTCAAACCAGATACGTTTTTAAATTTCAACTTCGAACAAACAATATATAAGCAGTTAGAATAAAGTTAGGTAAAACAAGTTCTCTCAAAACTATCAACCTTCTGCTGACATCTATGCCGGAGCCAACTGAACTTTTTCCTCCAATTACCCAAACCATGCAAACGGAAATCAGTTCCCACATCATAGATTTTCCTACTATGGCGATTTTACTTGCAAATTAAAGGAGATTATTAGTAACAATTGGGGAGGAAAAAAAAACAAGTCAGACTAATCTGACTCAATGAAGAGTTGACTGTAGTGATATTGGGAAAAATGTAAAATAGGTAATTAGACAACAAAAGAACAACCCTCCCCGGCGGGGAATCGAACCCCGGTCTCCTGAGTGACAGTCAGAGATACTAACCACTATACTACCGAGGATTGACAATTGTAAGAAGAGTTTTAACTTTATAAAATATTGATTAAAAGAAATTCAATTAAGGTACATTTCCTGCTTTTTCTAATAGATTTTAGCACTGCAATTACGAAACTTATATATGAAAGTATCTTTTTTTTGGTTTGGCCTTTCATTTGGGAACTTACATGAAAGTTAATTTAGAGCACTCTCCTATATATATACCGTCCCTCTGCACATCTTTCCCACCTCCATGCTCCGCACGAGAAATTACTGGCTAACGGAAAAAAAAAATTAGTAAAAAATGTCAATACAAATAAATATTTCAAATTTCAAATAAAATTGAAGTGATATTAATGATTTGAGATCTTTTGATAGCACCATTATGAATGTGTGAGTGGCACCCCCGGTCAAACAACGTTTTGCATACCTATGCGTAATTTTTGCTGCGCAATCGTTCGTCAAGACAAAAATGCGCCAAAACGGCCAACAACAAACAGGTGAGAAATGGTGGCGTTTTATTGTCTCCCCGATTTTGATCAGAGCTTAATTTTGGAACGTTGATGATGAACCTGTATTGATTATTTCCGATGTCAACATTTTTTGACTGAAAATACCCACAAACATGCAAATAAGTTTAGAAAATTGCACGGAATTGTAGGTAATATCTCCCACAATGCCGCTCCTTAGTGGTGGCCCCTGACCATGAATAACTGTGATCACACTGCGGATCGTACATCTTAAGTTAAAATGGTGGCAGCTTTATCCACGTTCCTGGGAACCTATGCACGTTCATTTTTTCCCCTCATTAATGGTGCGTTGCATTTTGGGCCTACCCAGAAATCTCAGCCCAATGTCCCAGAATTCAACACAAAAATTCATCACTTTTTGTCGGCTGCATTTCTCGAAACCAGTGTGCAAAGACTTCTCGAGCAATCTTGCGTGTAAAAAAACTTGATCCAAGCATTTGCTCGGAGAATTAGAAGTGGATCCATTAATCATGACTGAATCGCTTTGTTTGAAAAGGGTGGGTTTCGAAAATAGCAAGAAATTGCATGACACGCTCGAAGCTTTCTGCTGTGCATCGTGTGTACCCCTGCGGGTTTGCCTTGTTCGTATTGTTAGACTTTACGAAGAAAAACATGGAAAAGTTTTTTCTCAAAACCAATGTTTGCAAAAAGTGTGGGGAAAAGTCCCGAACAGTAGCAACTAGCATGTTTTCCCCTGATACCAAAATGCATAGCCATCCCATGTGTATTTATATATGAAAGGCGTTGTGATCATCGTGGCATGCATTTTCAACCATGAAAATTGTCAAGTAGGCATACCTAGCTAGGCCTTCTGTTAACCGAACCAAAGAGCAAGGAACAGGTGACAGAACTAAGGCCGAAGTAGCCAATGTTCATGGTTTATCAGCACATTTAAGAAAAAACAAATCAAAACTAGAAAAGTTGAGGCATGAAAATGGTTGAGTTATTTGAATTCCTGTTAATGATGGGCCTACTTACATGATGTACATGACTGTCATGTCACAACTTACATGAAACTCCTTGCCAGTAAAGTATGTTGATCTTTCGAAAGCCAAGATATGCAGGCTTCTTGCATGTCTTGATTCAGAGCTTACTTGATGATGACAGATTTTTTTCTATTCATTCACTGAAATTAAATCCTGACATTTTTCCGAGTTCAACCATTTTTCGCAGTCGGACATCCGTGAACTTCAGTACATTATTGAATAGCACAAAGGGTAAATTTGCCCCTTGCCGTGTGTTGATGAGCCTTGTTGACATCATGCCAACTGCAAGAATACCTACAAGAGGCATCCTCAGGCTTAGGATTTTAGATGTCAGGGTTGGGCTATCTTAGGTCATTTACTGTATATAGGCTAGTTTTTATTCTTAAGTAATAACCATTTTAAATTTTTATTCACAAGACTTGTCCTGAACAGGCCAAGGTCACAATCGTCAGTTCGTTGCCATGGAGATTGAGGACCAACCAATCACAGAAGTGGCAGCTGTGCCAGTGGTCAGCATGGCTTCTGGAAATGACCAGGAGGTCATTGGGATGTTACTTGCCCAGCAGGCAGAAAACGAAGAAGGGGATCTGGAAATAGAACAGCCAAGTACATCTGAGGTGTGTGTCAGTGGTTCACAGTTGGGCCGAGTGAAAATGAAGACCTCATCGGTTTAACTGGAAAAATTAAAAGGGATGAAGAGCCCATTTAACTGGCAAAACAGAAGATAATCAAAACTGGCAGACAGATTCTTCCATTGTATTGACTTTTTGCTGATCAATACGGGCGTTTCACAACAGTGCGCCTCCAAGAGTTTGCAACGCATTGACCAATCACAATAACCGAAATCTGTCGACTCAATGTGTGCTTGGAAAGGGTCGACTGATAGCGCTCATTGTGATTGGTATTTCTTTGTGTTTCAAGAAATACTTAAGAGTGGCCCGTGTGATGCGAAATTGGGGTATCAAAAACTGATAATCTTAGAAAACAAAACGAAGATGGAGGGAAGAAGGAAATTGGCAGGTACAAGAAACTTCTGAATTGTTTATTCAGCCTTGGAGTTTGTCCTTTACTATTCTCTGGTTGAACGAGACTGCTCCAAGCACAACGTTATTTCATCTATCCAACATAAATCATAGTAATTATGGCACCAGCAATGTATGGTATGGTACTCTTCAGCAAAATTACAAAAAAAGGGGCAATTTTTCAATCAAATAAGTTGTCACAGTGCTTTGCATACATCCCTCATAAAGTTACCAACCAACCCCTTTTGATTTTTTATAAATTTTGAATCTCCAGTGAAAGACCATTGCAATCAGTTTTCCGAACTTGATACATCTTTGCTTTTTGTAGGCGGAGTCTTCAGTTCTACCGACAGGTACCATAACGTCCACGGTGGGAGACGCCAACACTCTGAGCTTTGGCGATGGACAAAGTCTACATGTGCAGGCTGTGCAGTTCTCCGATGGGTCGACCGCAATCATACAGCAGAAAGGTCGCGACTTCCATCAGTCTCTGTGACGTCCCCCGTCCCTTCCTTTCTCTGCGCAGTCCCACCCAAGACGTGGGGATCGTAGCTTGTGAAGAGACAGATGTTCTTAACCCAGGGGCCTAGTTGTGGTAGCACACCCCGACATATGCGAGTGGGATGCACTTAATCTGACACAGCAGCTTGGGGGGAGTTTGTACATAGGTGTATTACCCTGCTTGACTCTCACGTCCGTTGGTAGATATTCTTGTAACAGCATTTCACAAGTTGGTTGGTTGACTTTGAGATGTTGACGTTTTGCCACTTTTCTTTGCAGATCTTGTGGACGGTCAGACGGTGCAACTTGCAGATGGTTCCACGGCTTACATCCAACAAATTCCATCACCCGAGAAGAGTGAGTGCTGCACGCTGTATTGTGGCTACTTGAACTGAGCGAGGCCATGTCCAAAAGTCGTGGCTATGGCTAGACGTAGCGTGGTTGCCTATGGGAGCCATTGGCTTGTGGCTCAGGAGCTATTTTCACCAACAAGTACATAAATATTCCTACTGGCTACAACAGAAACTTGTGAATGTATTGGCAAACCTAGCTCAGCTTGTTTTTTTTTAAGAACCAAATTTCAATTGCTGTCTGCAAAATTTGCTCCTTTTGTTTTTTCCTGGCACAATTTTAAGCGTCAAGTTTTGAGGATGGTCAAGCGGTGCAGCTAGAGGACGGCTCCACGGCCTACATCCTAAGGACACAGCCCAAAGGTATGTACAGGAAATACTCTTCAGAAAAATCGGCTTAGAAACTACAAGCGCTTAGCAAAAGTCTGCAGAGAGCCAGTTAACCTCTTCACGCTGGAATTCTTTTGACCGTGACTGCTGGGCGGAGGTATGCCCAGTATGCAAAGCTCTGTCCAACAGCAGGCCCCATAGAACCAGCAGCTGCATGGTGAATAGACTGTATGTGTGGTATGCACTAATCCTCACGCAAAGCCGCGGCTGTGGACAGCTGTCAGTATGAAGGGACTAAAAGCCATGCAAGTCTTGTGGCTTTTTGCCAGGTATGCCGCGTTTGCTAAGCACATTCCTTTTGTGCTCAGCAACTTAGTAAGTCCAGAGTTGCCAATTGTCTTGTTCCTGAGTTGAATGTCAGGCGGTTCCTGTGCAAATTTTCCAATAAAATATGTGTAGCAATGGAGATAAACGTCTTCGTGCTCTGATGGGTAATGGGTGAAAAGCTGTGTCACTTTTATTTCCAAATGAAATAAAATTCAAAGCAACACTGTAACCGTAATTGTAGCGAAATATTCAGGCCTCGTCCCATTTCAGAGTGTTCCGTAAATGAAGTGGATAAGGGGAACAGGGTACGACATGTATATCTTGTGAATGAAGCCCAAGTTTATTGGGCTATTTGATGAGGCTAACCACCTTGAGCAGAAGCACCCCCTCATTGGTTGAAAAAAACCACCTTGGTCAAGATTGTTCTTTTTGTTATTATCGTGTGTAATTCTTTGTGAACCAGCAAAGTTCAGTTCCGACCATTGATCTCCGTTATTGGATCAAAGATAGACTGGTTCCTGTCTGTACATACTCTCAAGACATCTTATAGACGACCTCCAACTAATACAATAGGGACAGGGACCAGTCCAGACCAAGGAGCCTTTGTTGTTAAGAAAATGGCGCCCTATCATTATCCAGCCCGAGGCCCATAGGATACTCAAGAGTTAAGCCAGTATGGGTCTCAAAATGAAGCAGAGACAGCAGCAAATGAAGTGTGTAACCAAATTGGGGGGGGGGGTAATTTTTGATATTCTGTTGCCCAGGTCAGAATTTGCAAGCTGTTCAACTCGAGGACGGGACAACTGCCTTTATCCAGACACAAATGCCAGAGGGGTTTCCTGACCAGTCACAAGGTTTGTTATATAAACACCTGACCAATCACAAGGTTTATGTTCTAAGCATCCAATCAATCAAGATTGGTTTCATAAGTATCACGTCATTTCTCTAGCTGACTATCAAGGAGATCAAAGTCATTACATTCTGCCGTCTTTGATGACAAAGTTGAGTTAATACGTAGGCTGTGTTGGAATCTGTGTTATTGGCTTTGGCTTTCGTTTTTAATACGAGCAGACGATGCTTAACAGCTGTAGCCAGAGACGATTGTGTTTCTCTCACATGGCTTGGCAATAATTCAAAAGGATCTGTAGCAATGTCATAATGTGGCTTGTGTGACTTGCATTTGGCAGGATTTTCCAGCACGGACGATGCCGTTGATCCCTCTACCCTCAATGTTCTGGATCAGTTCACCAATCAGCAGGTGCTCCCATTTGTTTCATTATTTCCACGTCTGCCTCAATGCAACCAACATGTTTGTACACTTTGTAAATCCGCATTTGACCCGTCTTGAGGTGAATTAATGACCTGCCGGACTTTTGGGTTTGGCCAGATTGAAACCGACGCCTGCAGTTCTCAGGATCAGCTCCCTAAAGTGAGGAAGCCGGGCCTCATGTCAAACACCAAGACCTACAACCTCGTCAATTCCGGAATGGTGGAAGGCTCCTGCTCCAAAGGCTACAGGTGTCGTTACAATGGATGCGGTCGAATGTACACAACAGCACACCATCTTAAGGTAGGCTTTTCAGGTTGCATACGAACCTGTAGTCTGGAGCTAGGTCTAGGTCTTCACTCCATCGGAAATATGCGGAGACGTGGAGACAAAGACTCTGGAAACCCGTTTTAAACGCAGCCTTAGTTTCCTTGTATTTTTGTCTCGCATCTCGTTTTTTTTCTGTCGCAAGCTTTAATCTCTGACATCGACACTACTTGAAGGCCCACAATGTGTAAACTTGAGATCAGGAGTATTCATTTGGTCGTTATACACTTTGACAGTCCTGTAGCATTAGAGGATTTTTTTTATTGAGTTTCGAACGCCATAGTCAGAGACAGACGAAGCCAGGATTCTGAAAAACCCCATCATAATTTGCCTGTCAACGAGCCATCTGTTGTTAAAACGTTAGCAGTGACTTATATCCTAGCCTGGCACTTTGTTCTAAACCTGCGTATAGATCTTCTGAATTTCCAAGACATGACAAGATAACAGTTTTTTCAAAATGCGACCACTATCAAAGGTGTTCAGTTGACACCTTATTCCATTCTTTCAGGTCCATGAGCGGTCCCACTCTGGTGAGAAGCCCTACAAGTGTGAGGTGCAGGGCTGTGGTAAGGCGTTTGCCTCAGGCTACGGCTTGAAAAGCCACACTCGCGTCCACACCGGTGAGAAGCCTTACCGCTGTCCTGAGGAGATGTGCACCAGGGCCTTCAAGACATCCGGGGACCTGCAAAAGCACGTGCGGACTCACACAGGTGAGCAGAGACTCATCCTGAGGCCACGATTGACCAGTGTGCTAAGTTCCACCCAGTGCGCTTGGCTCCACCTACTCTGCTAGGCTCTGCCCACTGCGCTTGGCTCCACCTACTCTGCTAGGCATTGCCCACTGCGCTTGGCTCCACCTACTCTGCTAGGCTCTGCCCACTGCGCTTGTGGGCATTATGTACATCTGTCACTGTTCCATGCTGCTCGCTTCACGTCACACATACTTAAATGCGGGTCCGTGAAGGGACATTTGATCATGCTGTCACAGCAATAATTGGTCAAATTATAACAGATATCAATCCATTGAAAGAAATTGCTGGAGAGAAAAGTTCAGAAGAGTTAGGGGAAATCAAAATATCTCTCCTGTTGTATCCATTCTAAAGTTGGTGGTAAGGCAAGGTCCAAAGTACTTAGCTGTGGCTTGAAATTACACACGAGTCTATGGGTAGCGGCTGAAGCCACTTCCCATAGACTCGTGTGTACTCTCAAGCCGTAGCCCAGTAATTGAAATGCGGCTTTGAAAATGCTTTGTTGTTCAATGTTGTTAGGAGAGCGACCCTTCAAGTGCCCATTTGAAGGCTGTGACAAGTGCTTCACTACGTCCAACATCCGGAAGGTCCACATTCGCACGCATACCGGGGAACGACCCTACATCTGCGATGAACCTCAGTGCGGTCGAGCCTTTGCCAGCGCCACCAATTACAAGAACCACATGAGGATCCACACAGGTGGGAAACATGGAAGCATTTCCTCTGTCCGATGCGACCTTATATCATTTCATTATGTGTGGTCGGTAACCTGACTTGCAAAGTGTGGACTTTGAAAGATATTGAAGGAAATTGGTTTACTGTTCAAGTGTCAATTGAAATGTCATGCCTGGATTGTTTCGTTGTTGGTTTGAGGGGCTGGGGGTTGGAGTTGAGCTGAAATCTGCTCCGCAACTTTTCTCTGCTTAACAGCTTGGCAGTTTTTGACCCGGGGTACCTTTTTGCTCAGCGGAAGAGTTAAATGCGCCTGGTCCTTACCATTATTCCCCAGGTGAGAAGCCCTACGTTTGCACCGTGGCCGGTTGCGGTAAGCGTTTCACCGAGTACTCCAGCCTATACAAGCACCACGTTGTCCACACCCATTCCAAGCCCTACATCTGTTGCCACTGCGGCAAGAATTACCGGCAGACCTCCACGTTGGCCATGCACAAGCGCACGGCACACGGGGACGTCGAGGACGGCGAAGAAATGGAAGATCAGGCGCAGTTTTTCACCACACACACAGGTAACGTACCCTCCACAATGTTCTCTAAGCCCATAGCAAGCTTCTTAACTTTGTACTGGATGTCATCTTGTTACGTCGGGAGATATCGATTGTCTGTTGTCCATTTATACTGGCATTCATTAATTAATAAACACTTTGTATTAAATTTTAACCGAGGGCTTGTGAGAAAATTCATGAGCTTGCTCGGGACTTGAATCCATGACCTACTGCTTGCTAGTGCAGATGTCCTACCACTCAAATCACTGAGCTTGCTGAGGTCAGCTGGCTGGTTTAAGTCAGACCGTGAGGACCGCAAGCAAACATTTCACTGGATGAAATCTGAACTTGTTTAATATCCCTCCCCAAATCTGTCGTCCAAAGTAAACTAAAAAAAACTTCCTTAAAAATGAATGTAACAACTAGCCTTGCTTCAATTATCTAGTTGCTGATGCAGGCCCAGAAATTGTTGGTGGTCCCGTGCCAACGTCAATCAGTAAACGACCAACTGTTCAGTATGATATCCCCACTGTGACTAGCGAGGGCGCTACATTGAGCACCGACAATATCGTCATCCATGCCTCAGGCACCAGCCTACTTCAGCAGGTATATTCCATCCATTATTGAATATTCTTATATTTATTTCGAAATTGAATTCTTCTCCAAACCAAATCAATCAGCAGTCACAGTTTTTATATTTTAAAAAATCTGAAAACTCACATTTATGTAAATTTAATTGTGTGAGTATTTTAATCTATTCTCTATTCGCAGGCAGCAGCGGCTAATGTCAGCATGTCTCAGATCAGCGACATTGTCGGCTCCTCCAGCCAAGTCACCATGGTAACCAGTGTGGACCCAGAGGTTGCCATGGCAGCCATCAAGGCAGCAGCCGAGGAGACGGCCCTGCAGGTGGTGACAGGCGATGCCCAGGGACTAACTGAGGACCAGGTACTGGGTAGAATCAAGGGCCATTCCAGGACCTATTTCTTAGGGGTTAGGGGTAGGAAATTTTGGGGAATGTCTATAAATTAGCCTTTAATGCCTTCCCTGAGGGCAAGGCTAAATCTTGGGACTTTTAAAGTCATTTGGAAGGGAAAAAAAAGCACACTCCCTTTTGCAGCCAAAAAAATCCTGCTGGCCCTTTTTGGGTGAGAGCCATAGCCCCTAATGTTGACACCCATCCCCCCCCATATGCAGCATAGACCATCAGTGGCCATATTCGTTCATTTCAAATTGATTAGTGGAGTGTTCTGTTGATTGGATACCGATTCACCAATTACGAATTGACGGATTGATTTGGATTGTTGCAGAGACAACAGCTGCAAGATGCCATTGTTGCTGTCAATGTCCAGGAGACGCCGGAAGGAGTGAGCATGGAAAATGTAGTCACTGCAGTCGAAACTGACACCGCCATGGCCTCGCTGGAGTCATAGATTGTGTTATCAGAGGGAGTGTGTGGTAAGGTTGGAAGAGCCCTGACTGTGCTGTGTCCAGAATGGGTGCAGTCTCGTATGGTGGATGTTTGCCTCGTATGTACCAGAAGGGTTTTGACAGTACAGAGCAGCGACGGGGGTTTAGCCACGTCATTCACCACAGGCGAAGACCCCTACTTGGTTCCTGACATGCCCTTGTATATGCACAATGTGATCTGTGAAACTTCTTTCAAAGAAACACTCGGTGTCACTCGTATAACAGACTGCTGCTGTCTGTCCATTCAGTCAGAAAATATGTTGGGTAAATTCAAGCCTGCGAGCAGAGTCCACATGCTACTGAGTAGCATTCCGAAAACATGAACGAGTTTCAAGTCAAGATGAACACCCCTACTCGTGGATGGTACCAAGAAAGAAAAGACTTGTTTTGTGTCCTGTTAGCACAACTTTAAACTCCACTGTGTTTCGGACTGAGTTTTGTACTTATTTTTGGAAGTCTTTTGGGGAATTATTCTGAATAACTCCCACTTTGCTTTCTGTAAATGATTGCAAGCTTTAAGATGCAAACTGTAGAGGAGATGATTCTAAACTAATGCCTATGTCTTACGTCAAGTCATGACTAATGCTACACCACCCTGAAAAATGACATTGTAAATAACAAAAGTTGTTTAATTTTTCAATTTATTTCTATTGGAACAAAAGGTGTTTAATTTTTGGATGTATTTGTATGGAACAGCCATGTTTACTTGCACCATGAACATGAGTTTGTGAATTATTAAAATTTTCCATACCTGCAACATTCTGCAGACAGACATACGAGCGATTGCCGTGTCAAGTTTTCAAGATGTCTATACACGTTCACTGCATTATTCTAATTCTCACAAGCCTGAAGATAAGTAATGTGCAGTTAACTTCCATGAACATTAAAATTCCTCTACATATTTGTTCGTCAAAATTTTCTTTGTGGTGTCAATTTCCAATTAATTTGTTGCAAACAAGTTAATTTATGATTTACAAGCAAATCTGGCAGCCATCAATTTTCCTGGGAATTAACTCAATGTATTTCGTTTCGTTTCTTCAGGAAACATTCTGAAGTTGGGTGTAAATAAACATCAGATCTATTGATTTTAAGCGTGCATCCTTCAAATTGTATTTCCTGTCCAGAAAAAGGTCTCATTGACAGAAGATTTACATGTATGTACATTGTTACCCAATGCACTCCATCAAACAGCACCACTAATCCTGTTTCCAACAAGGAAACTACCGACCACGTTTCAAATGAGTAAAATAGGGACAGTGAAAATAATTGTGTGTAATAGGCAAAGTCTGAACGTTTTGGCATTGTACTCCTATTTTCATTTGAGATTTTTTTTGCCCCCCCCTCAAAAAATATGGTCCCCTCTTAGGTGTACATCCCAGTAAAAAGTCAGTTTTCTCGTTCGTTCCTAAACTTTCAGCTTATTTGACATTGTTCCCGTGTTTCATCGTTTCAGTTAGCTGTGTTTGGTTTTAAGCTATACATTCAAGTTTAGAAATGTACATGGAATGAATGCCCCTTTCGTTAGACACAAAAAGCATCAGAAAAAGTTTCTGGAGAACCATCCGCCATCTTGAAAAAAACGTGTACATGTATGTAAGAAGAAAAAAAGGGCCACTTCCATTCTTAACACCTGTTGAGGCGAGAAACTATTTTACTGGCCTTAATACCTTTATATAGATAGCCACATACATGCACACATAAATATTCAATACCGAATATGTACATCATAAAAGTTACTCGATGTGATGAGCGTTTATACCCTTTGCGTTGTGCACCGTTTGGCAACATACGTGATCAGACAACTTTCCACAACTCTCTGAAGATACCTTCGCATTTGAGGCCCTAACTGTGGTGGCTGCGCACGCACACGCACTTTCTGCAGTTTGACGCGCGCGTGCTTTTGACATATGACACCCTGTTGGTCGACGAGGCATTTAACGCGCGCGTACCACCTGTCCACGAGCGTTGCGCCACCGCAGTAATGGCTTCTAATTCTAATGGCACAAGTCTTCTAGTTGCAGTAACGGTCGTGCAATTACACCGCAAAGCCTGGTTTCCATGCGGTCGTTTGTTACGCAGACGGTCCGCATTAGGTCAAGACGTAGACATTCTCAGAAGAGACGCTGCGCGACGTTATTCCACCAAAAAATCGAACAAAACGGCGTCCGAAATTTGGAGATTATGACACGTGATAACTTCAATAGAATATACGATACCGTATAGACATTCCCGTCTACCGTTAAAACAATCGATATCACCGTTCTGATTGTCGTTGCGCATTTAGAAATGTTTTTTAAACCATCCCTTTTGTTTTCCCCGAATGGATATTTATCGGTCTTATTCATCACAGTAGGTGTAAAAGACCCAGCTCTTGGGCCCTTTGTGGCTCAGCTCCCGTAGGACCAAATCCCCACGTACTTGACGTCCACCCTGCCTTTAGCGTCATAGTAAGTCAAGAAGGGTACCGCCTCACCGCCTCGGCCCACCTGTATGGTAGAATTGTAGTAAGTCAGCCACAGTCGGCGGAACTCGTGTGCACTCAGAATGTCTGGTGTCTGGGCATCTGCAAGGAAGGAGTTGAAGCTAGCTGGACGGATCGCTGACCACATGTTGGCCCAACCACCAATAACTAATTGGTTGAAAAAAGCCCCAAAACAAGAACGACAACATTAACAACAAAACGACTCCAAAAAACTTATTTTACAGTCATGTCAACATGCTGCAACATCTGAAGGACAAGTCCAATACGACGAATACCTACGTTAACCATGAAAGCAAAGTGAATTCGATGATTACATACAGTCGGGATTCAGTCGTCACACTTACCAACGTCAAAAAAATTGCCATCGAAAGGACTTTCAGACAGTGCCAGTGCTGCCTCTTCGTTTCCTTTCACAGCGAAGTCGAGTCGATATGGCCGCGTCGTGTCGACAGGAGGCAACACAAAGTCGTATGGCAATTCAGTCGAAGGCCAGAAAGGATGACACTCTGGATGGACAATTTGGACAGTAAATCCTAATATTGTTAGGATCAATTGATTGTGCTCGTGTAATAATAAAAATAATAACAAGCACTTGTAAAGTGCCCTCTATCTAACAAACCACTCCGAGGCACTGTATTATCATCATCCCTGAACATTGGGCTCACACATCATCTGAACATTCCTGAAACCGTCTCAGCTCCCTGGGGAGTATACTAGCCTGGTGCTGCCATTTCGGCGCAAATGGCTGAACATAACCGTGTCTGCCCTCACGGGTACCCATTAACTCCTGGGTGGAGAGAGGTGCATACTCGTGGGGGTAAAGTGACCGGCCCAGGATCACAACATGCTGCCACCAGCTGGATTCGAACCCCCGACCATATGATCAGAAGCTACAGACCCTAACCACTAGGCCACATGCCTCCTACAAAACAAAAGGGCCAAAACTCATCCTCGCATTGCCGCTTTAACTTTTTTTTTTTACTTCAACATGATGAAAGTATTAGTTCTGGTGATGAAAGGTAAATAACCTTCTCAATCAAATGGCGAAGTGTAAAAATATATGCTCATATCCCAAGATTTTCTGCACCCCGCGCAATAAAGTCACTAATCAACATGTATTTAATTGCTACCATTTTAACTAACAAGATCTTACCTCTTCGTGGTGACTCGGTAAAGTAAAGACAACCATTGGCCGGTGGTAGATCATTTTTCTGATTGGAGTACACGGCCGAGGTCAGCTCACAGAGTCTTGTATCTGGGCAAAAGTTGAAGGCTTTGCAAGCGTCTTGGCGCAGACACTCCGCAGCGCACGTCATGTACGAGTGCGCCGTGAACTTGCTATAGGCCTTGCCGTGTAGCGCGCGGTCCAGTTGAATTCCGCGGTAAAAGCGGTGGACTTTCATTTCCCCGCTGCGCAGCTGTTGCTCGTAATCACGTAACCCTTGGGAGCAGGTTTCCGGGAGCTCACCAGAAATACTGAGTGTGATAGCCATCAAACAGCAGAGAGAAATAATCACAACCCCCATCGCTGCTGTGATACAATCTGATTAAACGAAAATACATGGACATGCAAGAATAAATACTAAGGGAAACATAGTCGTCACAGCTTCTCTCTTTGTAGTCTTTTTGCCGGGGATTGAAAATTCTTCGTGGAAAAAAACAGGCACGAATCCTAATTGTGCCCCTGTCCGACTCCAAACCTGGATAAGCCACTGAGAATAATCTAGATTATCTTCAGGAAATTGTAACAGTTTGATGCCCGCATATCTTGGTGCACTTCCTCCTTGCAACCCAAAAGACGCAAAAACTCAAGACAGGGGCCAGTCTTACCTTTTCGATTATCCTCACAAATTCACAGCGATGAACATTAAGTTCCTTCTGATCGTTGATTACCAAGCAAAGCCTTGTCGATGTCTGAAACGGTTTTATAGGCAAGTGTGCAAGCGCTCAATGTCCAATAAAATTTGAGTACCGTTGTTGAGAATAAGCACGTTAATGGCTTAAGCTGTAAAGGGCAGGCTTGCCACAAGGGCATAAAGATTAATACAATAATAGCCAATTAATCATAGGATTGTTACCACTGACATTTTTAAGGGGTACACCACCCTGCAAGTTCCTATCATGAGCTCTGACACGCGTGTACTGTTGAACGTAAATTGTTCATAGAAATGTGGTCTCAAAGTTTCAGGTTTTTGCGTGATTATCGACGGGACGTGGTTCGGCCTTAAAAATGACTGTCAAAGTTTGCAGAAAATGCAAATCTTGGTATGCATCAGGTTTTGCTTCAAATGGACATAAGTATTAAAGAAGACCATGTTTTCGTTAAGTTTCACAGTAGTTTTATTACATGGTGTTTTGGGAGCGATTTTGATCACCGAGAATTATTCTTTTGTTTTATACTGACGTCCATCCATGAAATTTTGATTCGACCACTTACAGGTCAAAAAATGCGATTATGATGTACAGAGACAGAGGTCCTTCGCTTCTCCATCAACATCTTTCATCATCATGAAACAATTAATAAATTGCTGCAGTCTCCCCCGTGATGCAGCAGGTGCGGGAACTTGCCTACTATAAAGTACTAGCCTGTGGCTCCCGGTACGGTCAGTGCAGTCAGGATGTGTCACTTTGAGAAGCCATTACTGTTGAGGGCACAACGCTCCTTTACAGGTAGTGAGTGCGCGTCACATGCCTCGTCGACAGGGTGCTGTGAATTGCCCAACGCAAACTTTGAACGCGTCTATGTGTTGTAGCGTCTCTTTGGATTAGCGTCATCTACTGCACGAAACCGCTTCAGATAAATTCCCTAAGGTAAATGAAATATGTTTCTTAAGCTTAGCGTTCTTCACAGGACACAGTTTCAAGATTTTACGTTCGCTGTTGGAAATCCACCCTGCGTACGCGAAATCTCCAAAAATATGCACCCGATCCTATCATATGGCTGCCGCGTCGGATGTAAACACACAGGTTTTTCATCATTCTCCGTCGCTGTAACACATTAGGTTGGACTCCTTTGACCAAAACCTTTTCACATGCACAATGTAAACAATTCCGATTATGAACCGCCTCAGGCTACGTGTCTCTTTAATCTCTAGAAATAATGGGTGTGAATGATTTATCAGAGCCATGGCGTTCAAAAGAAATTCATCACGTCCCCCATCGAAATTAACAGGCAAGGTCGACGAGTCTCGTGAAATTCCGTTTAATTATCACCAACTTGTGGACTGGAGCCTACGTTGTTGCATGCTGTGAAAAGTACAGGTGACTTTCAACTTGCTTGTGTAAAAAGCAAAGGTGAAAGAGTAGAGTTTTGCCGTGGAAATCGAGATACTCGATCGCATTTGCCGACGTATGCGGCTGGCATGACATAGAGCTGTTTATAGAGTTGCGCCAACTACAGACTTTGGAATCAAAATGGCTGGTCATGTACAATACAGCAAGCGGCTGTTGTGTGCTAATTATCCATGTGCACTGATGCATAATCCGCCATTTTGATTCCAACAATTGAGACAGTCATGTCACAACTCTCTGTATAAACAGCTCTGGCGTGTAAAGTCAGTGTAAACTATCCAGTTCGTGCCTGTGCTTGCATAAGAAACTGTGCCAACATAACTTCCTACTCACATGCAATTAATCTCTTCAATTTGTTTTTTCCTTCTGAGCACGATTACTGACGCCACAACATCACAAAGAATAAAATAACAAAACTTAAACATTCTCATAAGGCAGAACAGGTGCTAGGATGTACCACTTTGTACTGCCAGGAAAAAAATCATCTTGCACATTATTACGGCGGATTTCTGTGACTAATTAACGCAGACCTGGCGACAGAGTTTATAGACACGAACACTGTTGGATCAGCGGGTAGATGCACGAATCGACCTCACTGCGTAAGCTCAACGTTACCCAGAGTAGATACCCAAGGTTTACAGGCATAGCTCCTTGCACTTAAATATCTTCGTCGTATTTGAAGCAGATTGTCGGTGGACGATACCCCTCTTTTGGCGCAGCAGTAAATGTTTGTAGGATAGCGAGATAATACTCATACCAACACCTTTTTGGACATTGTGACGAGATTGTTGGTCGTCAATTTGGCATCTGAATCAAATTCAGTGATCGAGGCACAGGTAAGATTTTTAAAGGGCTAATTACACTTTACTACGAAATACGACAAAGCATTTTTAGGGACATGGGATGATTTGCACTTTAAATGAAGATAGCCGACTGGTGAAATAATTGGTAATATTTATTTTCTGCACCTTTAAAGGAACGAACAAAGGCAATGAATCTGCTACCGATGGCCCTGTTGCTGTGGCTCTCCTGCGGTCATTGTGGCGCTCAGGAGGAACCAAAGGGTGCCTCAAGTTGCTGTGGTGCGTGCTTTCAAGGCCCAACCGGAACACCCGGCGTCCCTGGGATTCCTGGAAATCCTGGGGGTCAAGGACCTCTTGGCCCCAGAGGTGACCCTGGCATTGGCCTGACAGGACCCAAGGGGGAGACCGGCGAGCAGGGACGGAAGGGAGACCAAGGCGAGCCAGGGATACAGGGACTTCCAGGGAAGCTTGGACCGGTGGGTCGCAAGGGGGACATCGGTGAGGGGCAAAAAGGTGACAAGGGGGAGCCAGGAGTCCAGGAACCACCTGGTGAAAAGGGGCAAAAGGGCCAGCCAGGAGATGCAGCCCTGGTTTCAGCAACACCCCCCTCTGCTGTCGCATTCAGTGCATACCTCACGTCCAGTGTCACAGGCAATCAAGGTGATGTTATCATCTTCGACAATATCGAGACGAATCTCGGCGATAGCTACAGTTCGCAATCGGGTGTGTTCACTTGCTCTGTTCCTGGAGTGTACTTCTTTACAGCAAGCTTTTTGAGTATGTACTCGACAACACGTCCCTATGTCAAGCTGAAAAAGAACGATATCGTTGTATTTTCGATATATGATAGTCAGCCAAATCAATACCAGCAGTCGAGCAATTCTGCGGTGGTTTCTCTGGCGACTGGAGACCGAGTGTGGCTTGAGTTTGGTAGCGGTAGCAGAGGCGTTTACGGCGAAAGCGGGAATCGCTACATGTGTTTTTCTGGATTCTTGATCAGTTCTTTGTAGCTAGTTTCCTGGATTCTGTTCACAGGTAAATCATCAGCGGTGACACAGGAAATGACAAACTGATACATGAATCTTAAAGGAAACATTTATTGGACATTACCAACAAAATCTAAATCTTTGTTTTTATAGAAGTGACAAAGAGAGCCCTTGTGGGTGGTATTTTTCATTCGAGGAAAAATCTGTTCATCTCTAGACATTAGAGGGCAATCGAGCCGATGTCATCATATTTGACACCATCCAGATGAGTCTTAGCAACGATTATAGTTCGGAATCGTGCGTGCTCACATGCTCGCGTATTCTCATCAGTCACATGCATCTAAGAAAGAATGAGCAGCTTCTTTTCGCTTTGTTTACGCTTCTCACGACCAAACGTTTGGGACATAAAACTACCAACATCTTCGTTTTTACAGCACCTGTAGTTCCTTAATTCACTTTGTCCTCAAATTAATGCTAGAGATTTTGCAAGTAAAAATATAATATGTATCAGGTGCAAGGGTCCGTTTGTGTATTGTCTGGTATAAAAAAAATTGTTAAAGGCAACAGCGGCTAAATGCCTGCACATAACCATTAGTAATAACGTGAGCTCGAGATCGGTATATCATTTGAGTAATATACAGGCACAATAACGTGACAGTGTATAGCTAATCGACAGGCGTGCATGCCGACGACATCTCACGAAAAGTGGGATAATTTAAATTTATTATCCAAAGTAAAGCATTTTTTAAGCACTGCTAACATAACATAACCGTTTCTTTCGATTCCGCTGATTTCATCCTCTGTTTATTGACTGATGTCTGGTAATCTGAGGCTCTGGCAAAATATAGAGGTAATCAGACAGAAAAAATCATGACCTTCTCGGCCCTGCCCATTTTCCACCTCCGGTGTAAATATTTTCACAGCATCTTTCAGTTTATATATTCTTATATTCTAAGTTTTAGAACACACATGTATACACACACAAGAACCATAATTCCACAGATTTCCTTATGCTAGGATTTTTCTTTCCAAACTGGCGTCAACTGGTAGATAGTTATTGGAAAGGGGGCGGGGTATGTATTCCCCTCTTTTTGACCGTGGTTGGGCTATTAAGTAGTTCGTAAATACTGCTGAGACGCAAGAGTTGCGTGCTGCTGGATCATACCATCAAGGTTGAAATACCGGATTTATGTTCCTTGTTGTGATGTAGACTCAACCTCATTCCCAATCGACTGCTGACTGCCCGGAGTGTTATCCTCAATGTGCCTGAGGAACTGTATGATAAGACGACAAAAGTATTTTCAAGATGTATTTTTTTTTTTTGCGTTGGGGAGATGTTAATTTTATATAACAGGTTTTGCCCTTAGCACTGAGCATACAGTGCTTATTAATATACGTTGGGTAAGGGCAAAACCTGTTGGGTAAGGGCAAAACCTGTTATATAAAACGACAAAAGTAGTTGGTATTTTTATCTGCCTGCCGTTACTTTCCTGAAAATACGGACGATTCTTCGACTGAACCGAAGGGAAGCTATCTCACATAATTTTCTCACTGATGTTTCTATTAAGAAATTGCAAAATGAAAATTGTGAACAGAAACAAAACCTTTTCTCTAGTTCCCTCGACGTTCTCCAACCATTTGAGCCTGGACTGTGCAAAGGTCTTGTACCTAAGCCTTTGACTCGAAGTCTAAGACGCGCTTTCTGTATCTTGTCGTCTTAATCATGATTGTTGTGGAGGATAAACTATCGTGGGTAGCCTCTGGTTCCCGTAGTGAACCAATAGAGTGTCCAACAGCAAATGGTCTTGGGGGTCACGGCATGCCGGATTAGCAGTAGGCCCTACGCGCGCTCACGAGGTCGGCCCAATCACCACGCGGCTGTTTTCCGACGTGCACGCTTTGAACACGTTCCTGCTCGCGGGATTTCTTCTCAAACGACCGTGCCTTTTCCAGATACTGAACTGATTCATTTTTTAAACAGCTTTCATGGCCATTTTACCCCCTCGCGGAAATCAGGACTCCGTTGAGTAACTGATCTTTTTTCTTGTGAGTAGGCCTAAATGGATTAAAAGTAATTGGGCCGCACAGCCCGTAACTAGGAGGGTGCAAGGAGTGCGTCCGCCCCCCCCCAGACTAAAAGGTCTGCTTTTGAGGAAAGAGGAGACTCTGAGCTACATATAGTAGATCATTTTATGCCCAAATGCCGCGAGCTTCAATTCTTCAACTTGGTCAGTTCCGTCTTCGGGAGTATATTTGTACCCCCCCCCAGAAAAAAATTGATACAACCTCATGATCACGAATCCTGCTGTTTTCCCAAACTAAAATGCAACAAATCTATGCTTGATCCGCTTTGTTGAGGACTCGCTCCCCCCCGGAAAGTTCCAGTTGCGGGCCTGCCGCAGAACTTATTTCCTGATATGAGCAGTACAACCAAGATATCATGTGCGAATTTCAGACTTTGAATCCAAAGGTCAGGGAAGGAAAGGAACTGCAGAGTTGCTAGAAACCTAGTTCTGAGCAAAGATCGTATAGCGCCGATGGCGCAAGATGGCACTTCACGGTAATGCACAGGCGCAGGCGCACCAGGTGTACTTGCCTGCCGCGGCGCCTGCGCCTGTACATTAATGTGCATTGCGCAGGCGTATCGCTTGCTCAAATGGAGCCTAAGCGATTACAACGTTTCTGTGTATGTATTCGCTGTGAAGTTCTCCATCTTGCGCCGCGCTTTATACGATCTTTGGTTCTGAGCAACCTGATTCAGTAATTGTCTTGATTTCACTTCGTCATGTCTTACCTGCTCAACGAAAGGATGCGAAAAAATAGATCTTAAGACGGGCCACATCTTGAGAAAGTTGATTAATCGCTCAACTACGCTCCTGTCGCACACACACACAAAATTTGTTGTTAGGCCTACGAGAACTGATCAAAATCACCTTGTATAAGGGACAACGAAGACCTCTTCCCGAACAACGGCAAGGAAATTAACTACATGTATACATGTAAGTAACACGCCATCTAATGCACAAGAGTTGCATGAGCCTTACAACTTACAATGCCGTGTCTGAATTAATTGACTGCGGTTTGAAATTGCACGCTACTCTATGGGAAGTGGCTGAAGCCGATACCATAGAATCGTATTTAATTGGCTGCAGCCAACTGATTTGGACAAAGCCTTTTAGAATCTTTAAAAGCAAACGATAACAGAAATACCTGGTTAATAATATGTGCGCACAACTCACTACAAGAAGCCCCACTCCAAACCATCCTGCAAGCAGGAAGGCTTCGCCAAAAGTGAACACGCTCGTTGCCATCATTTTATATCTGAATGGAAATTTGGACCTATAGATGGAATTTTTGAAGAATTAAAAAAGACGCGATTCAATTTTTGTGTGATGCATACCATATAATCAACTTGCCAGCTAATGAGTGGTCGTTTTACTGCAAAACCAAAGAAGGGCGAGCATTAAGTTAAAAAAAATAAATAAATAAAAGGGCAAAAAAGAAATTACACTTGACAATGAACTTGAAACTTGCCAATGATTACTGCTTACGAATTGATGAGATTGATGGTCATACGGAACCTTATTTTAGAAACAAGAACGTTATAATAGACTGCAAGCAAAATCTCGCCAAGAAACTGCAGCAAAATAAATAAATAGATAAAAAATAATTCTAAAAAAAATTGCCAAAGCTGGAATAAGCAAGTAAGGGCTTACTTGTAGAGAAGCTGTGCAAATCCGAAGACTAAACCGATATGTCCGAGCTTTTTTAAGCCGAGGCGGAGGAATATTGAAGACCAGATGAACTTTGAAGTGGCAGATTTCTCGTGTTCCTCCAACTCCATGCCGAGAAATTTAGCAAGTACACCTACGAGATACTTGATGGGGTCTCCGGGGAGATACTGTCTGTGAAGAGAAAATGTTTGTAAACTATAGGCCAACCCTAAGTTCTCCACTTTGAAGAGGAGGGATTATCTTACAATTTGAAAGACCTTTCTCAATTTTTGTGGGTTTTTCCTTGACCACATCAGCGCATTATTATGCAAAGGTGACCGATTTACATAAGATTCATGGTTTCCATTTGTAGAAAAAGATCTGATATTCGCAACGTCCAACTGCCTGAAAGATAGTTAAGTGAATAATCGGTTAGGTAATCAACCAGTTAATCATTCCGTCCGTCAGTTAGTAATTCTGAAGTTACTTTATTATCCATTCCAGACTGTTGGATCTTTAAGTCAACCACGGCCTTTTAGATCACGTTCCTTACTGGATAAGCAGGAAGATCCCGTAAATTTCCAGCGGTATTCCAACTGTACGCCATTGGCCAAAGACCAGCAAGCAGAAGCCTCCTATGAAGCATACGGATGCCATCCGGTTGTCTTCATTGGATAGGAAACAGAGAGTCCGCTCTGTGCCCAATGTATAGATAGGACCCACCACGACGAGGACCTGAAATAATATGAGTGTTGCTTTCACGAATATTACACTATTATGGGTCCTGAACTTGAGGGAGAGGGCGCTATTTTCCTAGCAACCGAGGCTCCTTTGGTCGGAACATTATCACTTCGCTGGTTCACAAACCACTACATGAAATGCATGAGTTGCACTCCCGACTAGCATGGCTCTTCCCAGCCAATGAGTGGGTGCGTCTGCTCAAGGCAACTGGCACAAACCAAATTTCACTCTCGTGCTATGATAGTGCAATCCGTTTGGCTGTATTTCTTTCATTTCTGCACGAGCAATCGCAATTTTAGGCCTATTCGACAATTTTTATAGTAATATTACGTGTGTATTAATTTTATGTAGTACAACCTTTGTCCTTTTAATATTATCTTATGTAAGTTGTTCTTAATTCAGCCTGTGGGCTGATATGGACAGTCAAATAAACCATAAATAAAAATAATGAAACAGCAGGAAAAAAATAATCCCAATAAAAACGCTTACTTTTTCACGTCCGTAAAAAATCACTGAATGCAAAAAATCAATGATAATTCGGACAAAAACCCTCTACCACCTTTTTGACGGTAGTGTAATCATGTTGGGGTATTTTTTATATTTTTACTGGTTGGTTGTTGGTTTAGGGAAGCACTGCATACTGTGTTTTTACCAAAACGAATGCGGCTTCAGGCTCATTCAACATGATATGACGGAATCAAATGGTGTCGTTTTCTCAGGGATTTGGTGTTAATATTTGATAAATGAATGTACTGATTACTTTCTTTCCTACTCACCTGGGAGTTTTTACTTGAAGAAAAAAGATACGCCACTGCACGACATACAAAAGAAAAGCATACTTCGAATGAACAAAAAAAAAGACATAAAACAAGTCGTCTTATGTGCCCACTCTGTCACACCTAAATCCTCATTAGAGTTTCCCTCACATTTCCAATCGCAAGGAGAGGCCAGTTGAATAGCAGAGTGACTCCCAACCAAAAGATGAAAGCACCAATAACAGTCAAGAGAAATCCTCTTCCGATGCCTATTATGTAATTAGAGGAAAATATTTTTATTGACCAAAATCTAACAAGTCCAGCCTAACTACATGGCAACTGTTCTCTTTGCGTGGTAGCCATCTTGCAGGGCATTCCTCTGTGGGACAAAAGTATTGGCCTGCAAGATGGCAGCTATACAAACCCTCAATATCCAACAGGAAAATAAACCTACTTTTCTGGAGAGGGATACACAATAGTTTAGGGGTTACTTCTTAAAAAATACAAGAGCCTTTTTGTACTAGTAATTTAGAATGGGCAAGGATTGAGGTGGCATACATTATAGGGACGAGGTCCATCGCCAGGCAACTCCGCCCTCAATGTAATAACGACACTCTTCAAAACCTCGGCGTATCGTATCCAATTTGTATGGAAGATTAAGAAAACAGTTCTAACTTTCTCCGCTTTCCCAAACACTGCAAAATATAATTCTTTCGGTACTTCTGCAGCGTAAAAAGTATACGCAATCTTGTCGGGGAAGCCCGGGGTAGGGCCGTCTTTTTTTAAGAGCGGTTGCTGCGGACAGGGGGCTCACTAGTAATTTATTACATTACTGATGTAAGAGCCTTTACGTGATGTCTCCTTTGCATCTTTGTTATCATTAGAGTAATCGTTATTTTATGTTCTTATTTCTTTTGGGGGGGTGTTGGAGGATTATCAGAGAGGGGGTTGGCCCTTCTACCGCCGCCCCCGCCCGAATCCAGGCCTGGGGCTCCATTCGCGCTGGAAGTGCTTGCCAATTAACTCATAATAGAACTAATTGCCATGGCGGGAGGAATAAACGGAGGGGCACTGAACAGGTGTCACCCCATTTTTAATGGGCAACTTTGAGAGCTTGCTGGTGGCAAATATATCGGCTCTTTGTAGCAGTTCTGAGCATGCGTGCGTTGCTCTGGACCTGCGTGCACAGTCTGAGCATGCACAACACTGTGAAGAGGGACCGGCATGTTTGCTGCCACCAGCGTCTCAAAGACTCTCATTGGGGAATTTAAATAATTGTCAAATTAATACATAAATAGTTTAGATACACTCAGCACATGCATGCCCTCCATGCCTCTGTTCCCGGCAGCACGATTCAGTATGTCTGCGTATCTCCAACCAAGGGTATTTATACGAACATGCACAGCGAGACTCACGGCTTGTAGTCACGGGCTTTCCCGTCTGCAAACTGTGCAAGGCTGAAATTTCCGGGAACACTCATCAACATACGGTGTACTCACGCGGTAGATCAATGCCGAGCCTGCGAAGTTGTGCGATAACCGTACCAAAGACGGTTCTCAGCGCAGCACAAACGAACCCTGGTCCCACATCCATGAGGCTTGGTAAACAGCTTGTGATTAAGGAGGAGAATATATGTCGGTTACTTCCTGTTCAATGAACACTGTTAAGGGAAATTCCCGCGTGGCTAAATTAGCGCTTTAAAAATCAAGATGATATAATGACAATTTTAACAAACAAGGCTTGGCTCACCTATGTTTTGACGCAATAAACGAGAGTTAGGGGAATCCCCATCAACGATATTCTCCACTGCACATGAAATAATGACAGCCAATAAAAGAAATGGGTGTAAATGTGGTCTTTTTGACCCAGTCAGTTCGTTTATTTTCTCAAAATTGTCGGGAGGGGGGATGCTTAGTGCTCACTTCAACATCCCCCGACGACGCCCACGAAATTTTGAAACAGTGGAATATGGAGTTATTGTCAAATGTAGGTAACAACTGCCCCCAAACACAACGTCTCAGCTCCAGCCCATGGATCAGAGGGTGATCATGAACATGAAGATTCGTTACAGACCCATGACTATTACAGGAACAAAATGAAGAGAAACAGGCCGGATTTCAGCTAATCCGAATTCCTCACAACACCGGCATCTTTTGTTTCTAATTTGTCCAATGTCAAGAGAATCACGAATTGGCAGCTGAGCAGTTGCTGCAGTGTTTCCATGACAACCGGGGGCGTCTGTGTCCCTCATTCAATTACCGTGCTGCAGTTGAAAATGAATTGTAAATTGCAATTGTGTTGAACCAATGAAAATAAATGAATAATTCCTTGGTTTTTAATGACCGATTAGATTTAGTGGAGGCCTTTACGTTCCACATTGTGCCCGATGATACCTTGAAATTTGCATTAGCCAGTAGGATGGCAAAAGATTTTCGTGACGTTTGGAACAAATTTACGGTGGATTTTCTAGAGGCAAACGGATTTTCGAAATGGAGGTGAATTTCAAAAAGACATTCATCATCCCACAAAAAACGCAGCATCATTTTCAGTAATAAAATGTCTAATTCTCGCTTTGGATTCATGTCCATGCAAATGTTTCACATTAACACATCCACAGGTTAAAGCGCTTTGAGGGAAGAGGTCCCGAAAAGAAGCAAAAACGATTTTTAAAACAGTGTTATAAGAGACGCGATTGTTTAATACGTTCTTTTTCATTTCCCCTTCTTCAAGTTCTAAAAGCTTGTAAAATGTAAGTTCATTTAAATGTTACATAAAGATCCTCTTTTAAGCCTCTCCCCAAGACCAAACTGTCCCCCTTAAAAAGCCTTTTGGGAGTTAAATTTGAACAAAATCTGGTACACTGAGTTCTTCCAATTCACGTGAACATAACAATTTGAGTTCTCCTAACTAAAGACACTGTTGCTATACCTCGTGATTAGGAAAAGCTTTTCCTGAATTACATAAGAGACGTTTTTCAATAGACCTCTTCACTAATAAATTCATTATTATGCACGCATGCGAACAAATGGCCTTGGCGGCAAGAAGTGTGAGCGGGCCATTGAAAATGTACAGGGGCGAGACTTTGATTCATTTTCTCTCATGTTGTCTGACTTTGTTCGGGGTTTTTTCTGCAGAAAATCCCATTAAATCTTTTTGGCTATTAGCTTCTAATTTCAGTGGAATTTTTTAGTGCTTTGTTAAAAAAAGATTTTAAAATCGTAATTTTTCCTGTTTGCACGAGATCGTCGTTTCTTAGTGTGGCCCCTTCCATCATAAGTAGTATAAACTACATCGTTAGTGTTCTTGGAACCAACCTGTGCATTTGGTAAAACGCCGCTGACGTCAGAGCTTCCGACGTGTTCTTCTTTCATTGTAAGAGGTCTCGTTTTGTGCTCAACACGAAAAAGTCTTTCCAGCAGAAGGCAGAATATTTCGTTTTTGGTTACTTTTTCATTTATGGAGGAGCATACTGTCTCTTTCTATTGTGACCAAAGTGCTTCACTTCATCACTGACAGTATGTGTATATTGATTCTGTTTGAAAGACTATGCTAGTTTGAATGACCAAAGTGCTTCACTTCATCACTGACAGTATGTGTATATTTATTCTGTTTGAAAGACTATGCTAATTTGAATGAGTTATTCTTAAAGGTCAATTTTATCATAAGCGGCTTGAGGATTCAGTAAGACAATGTACAGTAGGAATGACGAGAAAAAAATAACAAGCAAGATAATAAGTTGTTCGGGTACTGAACTGAAATGGCCTGTGAGGATTGACCAGGTATTTTGTATCCGCCATGCAGTCGACTGAGCCCGGAGAGACCAGCCGTGGGAATTCCTCCTCAGACGGGGGTGCGTTGAGTCTTCCCCCCGTCATCCAAGACATCGCTCAGGGTGTGCTCGCTATTGTGGTCGGCCTGAACTCCCTCGGCTATTCGTGGATCATACTCACCACGATCAGGCATCGCCAACTCAGAGCGGTGTCAAACTTCTTCCTGGTAAATCTCTGCGTCGGGGAGTTGCTTTTCTGCACCGTCTTGGTGCCCGTGGCTTATGTGGTCGTCCTGCGGGGCCATCGAGACATCAGAGCGGCGGAAATCAACGCTGGTATCGTCTCCACCTGCGTGTTTATCCTGTCTGGATTCTTTCTCAGTGCGTCAGTTTGGGTAGCCGACAAGAACTTGAAATTGTTCAAACCTTTCTTGTATCCTCGCCTGGGAACCAATCGCTACCTTGCAATTTCTGTAATGGCTACATGGGCATCTGCGCTTGCTGTCGCCTCGTTTGTCTTCCTACGTCTTGTCACCGCACCAAATACCAAAGAAGCCGTGAACTTTCCTGCCTTTATCCTTCAAAACTGGTGGGTTCCCATGCTACTTTTTGACGGAATAGTGGCAGTAAATGTTGGCTTCATAACCCTCTCTAACGTTGCTGTGATCCGCCTCGCCTTCACACAACTACGTAAGATCAACTCCAGGCCCACTGTGGTGATCACAGAGCCGGAGAACCCAGTCGATAGACAGCAAGACGTCGTCTTCAACATTCACTTATCGACCGAGACGATTTCCAACCCCAGCACTCAGTCTGGCACAGGCACTGCGCTAGCGCGGTCGGCCCGGAACTTTTGCCGGCCAACCCCAAGGAGCACTTCTTCGAATTCCCGGAGACGGTCGTTCATCGTCTATGCGTGCACCTTCACGATGGCTTGGACCCCCGCTATAGTCCTGGTCAACTTGCATGCCTTCGGCTCTCTAGAAATCTCCCCGCCCATGATAGGTATCACCGCCATGGTTGCTGTCAGCCAATGCTCATTTGCAACGCTGGTTTACACTCTGAGGGGAAATGAGTATAGGGTATATTTGTCGAGACATCTTACCCACATTCAGCACAGATTGGAGATGAAAATAAACTCCTTGAGATGCTGGAAAAGCTGAACAATGACTGACAGGACTTCATTATGTACCATCATGGGCGGAGATTTCTTGTCAAATGTGTGTGGGAGGGATTTCTGAAACCTCACACTATCAAAAAATCAACACTTTTTGGTGTTATCATATGACCACCCCTAGGATGCTACTTTAACACCATTGGTGTTACCTAGAACACCTATAAGTGTTACGATGCACTGGAGGGAGTGAAAGTAACACCAAATAACACCAAAATTTTTAACACCAGTGAAAATGTTAGTGTAATCCTCTGATAACACCACGGGTGTTAAATTTAACACCCCAGTTTTTGCAGTGCAGCACGGCCTCCGTCCCAGGTGAGATCATGACTCCGGTATAAGAGCGTTGTCTGCGTTGCAGGCTTAAAGGGTGTGCATACTTGAAAAGTGGGTGGGTGATGATGTTGGTAACCCCCCCCCCCAGGTCAAAGGGGGATATGTGCCCCCCCCGATCTCCACCCATGTGTATCATCTCTTCTTCATAAAATTGCACCTGAGATTTCACGTAATAATCTGCTTACATGATTTTGAAAAATCAGCATATCAGCAGATAAGCATACGCCTTATTTAGTTAACTTGTATTTGACTCTTACAATGAACGTGTTTATCAGTACAGAAACTTGAAAATTCACATCCTGTTGTCGAAATCAATGCCTTTTGCAACATGAATCAATATTCCTTGTTTCATTAACTATCGGCAGTAATGTCTACACTGTTCCAGGAGACCATCAGCCGATAACGTTTGTTGTAAAGTCCCATAATTACGTATGATCAAATAAATACATCACGTGAGTGTGTCTGTCTGCTTCAAATCAAAATTACTAGGCTGTAACTATAAAGCACGGGCTCTACTCCGCAGATCGTTTTGAAATCAAACTGTGCGTACGCGTGTTCCTAAGCAAGATGCTTGCAGCATTTATTCCTTTAGTCGTAAAGTTACAAGCTCTCCTGTCAAGGAGGCAGTTTAATTGTCAGGCCTATAACAGACAGGTTTAGGCCTATGTAAAATCAGAAATCGCAAATCTTGCAAATCTCGGTACATTTCATGTACATTTGTATTTCATGTCTGGTTTCGCTTTGATCTACTCTTGTCCTCTCTTATACTTTGTTTCTGTTATTTTGTTTTTACAAATAAAAGACGCATTTCGTATATTGCAAAACGGTTTAATGAAGCCCACCGCGTATACGGGAGACAATTACGGCACCGACAAGCGTAAATAAAATCCTTGTGGACCACGTAGGTTTCGCTTTGATCTACTCTTGTCCTCTCTTATACTTTGTTTCTGTTATTTTGTTTTTACAAATAAAAGACGCATTTCGTATATTGCAAAACGGTTTAATGAAGCCCACCGCGTATACGGGAGACAATTACGGCACCGACAAGAGTAAATAAAATCCTTGTGGACCACGTAGACATGTGTTCATCGTCATTCGCCATCCGAGGGGATTTGCATCGCTAGGCTCGCTCCTCGCCACGGTTCTCGACTTGTTTTTACACCGGAGTACTCAACCTCGTCACGGCTAGCCTACCCGGCGAGATGATAATCGTCCGTGGCTATAAAGCGCAGCTCATCGAGGCTGCTTGCGGTCGCCCTTGATGGGTTTATCGCTCCATCGCGACACTGGGCCTGCTTGTCTGATCAGTTGGGAAAGACACACAAATCACTGTTACTTCTGCTGACGTCTGCATCTGCACCTTTTCTATTTGAGACGATCTTCTTTAAAAAAAAAAATAGCCAATATGGCGTTGAGGATGATGTCGTTTATATAATGATATGGTATATGATATAAGTTAAACTTAGCTGTACGAAAAGACGCCACAAAATGGAGGTGGATATAATTAAACATTTTCACAATGTGATAATCAACAGATCGGAATTATTGTGTAATACAAATGGCAATTTGTCGCAGCATTTCAGCCCAGTTCATGAGGTACATACGTCGTGTCTGAAAGAGCAAGAAAGTTACTGTTTATATTTGCGTCACCGCAGTGAGTATGAAAATAGATTTAATAATTGAGATAATTAATGCAGTGTCGTTTCATAGCCGGAATTCTGTCAGCAAACTCACGGAATGCAGCACAATGACCCTTGAATTCAGTATTTAATTACGTACATAGAGAGATATATATATTTCTATATAGCTTTACGTTCTGTGGCTAGTTGCTTCATATGTTTGCTACACGTGATTTTTAAAGTGTTGAATGAAGAAAAATTAACGGTGCCTCCGTTTTCCATGGCTTTAAACCGCATGTCGGTATTACGTTAAAACACATAGAGAAAAGCCACCGTAGGATTTCAATCGAGTAAGGTTATAAACCTTCTTCACAAACTAAGTGAATTATAAAGAGGGCGTAATTTTCTTAGCAACGGATACTTCTTTGGTCGGAACTGAACTTCGCTGGTTCACGACCAACTATGAAATGCAAGCGTTACGGTCGCATCGTTACCGACAAAATGAATGTTCACGATCGACAAACATGATGGCTCTTTTCAACCGACGAGGGGGTGCTTCTGCTCGAGGCCAATAAGCCGTGTAAGATGGAGACTAGCCGCATGCACCAATCCAAACTGACTCTTCACAAAAATAATGTTTCCAGGGTTAGGTTTTTTGGGGGCAAGACGTGCACTCAAGTTATAGTACGTTTGATTTCTGTTTTAGATTTACTTGTAGAAAATGATCTCTTGTTCTGTAACAGCGACATTGCGTCTAAGTCAATCGAAGCCAAGAGTGAAACAAAACCGATGTTTGCAAACTGTCATTTGACAATCCCTGGTCTTATTTCTTTCGTACATTCCACGGGATCACAAGGTCGAAGCATAAAGGGTACCAGTCTAAGGGTAAACCAAGATGGAGGCGTCTTCCAGCAGTGCCTGCAAAACTTGGGAAGTTATTTTTGAGAGATACAAACAGACGTGGAAGTGGTATGAAAATTGGGTTTCTGAAAATCCGGAGATAGTGTCACAGATCGAGAAGACCTTCAGGGTGTTTTCGTATCTCCTTCCCGGTAAGTAAAACGGAAATGTAACGTTACTTAGGCATAATCATGATAATCAAATAACCAACATGACCAAGATCAGGCCGGTGCTAGGGAGTCCGGCCCTTTTCAATTTTTTTTTTTTTTTGAGCCCCACAAATTTAGTACCATTGGAAAGAGAATTTCGAAAGAAATTGAATGGTATAAAAATTAGCTCAATAACTGTAAGTATAACGAAGTTGTCAATTTTTTTTGTTATTAAAATTAGGTGTAATCAGTCCGTCACTTTTTGGGGTGGACACAAGTTTTATTTTCATCAATATATTTGAACCACATGGAGTCTTATTCCTCATCGGTTGATCGGTTCTACTTCTAGACATGCCAGAGTTGGACAAACGTCTGTAGTTAAGCCACAAACCACAACAAACCCTTTTACACGCTTTCAGATATAAAATTTAGAGACGCCGTTTTACTGGACTCCCTACCGGTGCCATGGCATGCATGGCTTCCCTACAGTTAAGTTGTACTCGTATTCCTTCCTCCATGTTTGCAGCCAAGGTTGTTCCGAACATCCACACTGATCTAGGGTTGGTAAACTGTGAATTGTAACTTCCTCTTTGGTGTGAATTCAACAGGTGCAGTAAATGTTGACACAGTTGTAGCAGAGTTTGGTAAGACAAACAAGATTTCTTGTATGCCTAATGTCACTTTTGTCAGTCAGTTGTCAGTCATGAATGTACATGTAGGTCTAAAATGAAAAGAAAACAGACTCTTGATATGATGTCATGTCATGGATGTCAAGATCTGTCATGTCTGTGAAGCGATTGTGAAGCATAATCATGGTACAATGTAATTTGAAGCTGCCGCTTTTGCGTGGTGGAAGTTACATGAGATGTAGGTTTACGGGTACACCATAAAATTAATCTCTTTTGGAAGAGGTGTGGTTCTTAGAAGAACCGGTGAGTTCTAAGAACCACACCTCTTCCAAAAGAGATTAATTCCATTGTGTACCTACAAGCCTACAGGTAAACGTTCCATATACAGACGCCAGTAACTATTCCCTACAGTGAAGCATAAGCCTTGTTAGCCGTCAGAAAGCAAAAAAAAAGTCAAGAAAGTTCAAATTAGGAGGGAAAAAACCAAGTCGTTTACACAGAAAACACTTTGAATTTTTCAGACCAGTCTTATAGGGTTGGTGCGCAGGGTGTCGAGCGGCGTCCATACATGGAACTATTTCCAGGCTACATATACATCTCATGTGATCATTATACTGCGTCGACCAGTTGACATATCCATGCAGAATCCAACACTGTGCGTCATGCACATGCACACTTAGTAATTATCGCCTGAAATGTTTTCTGCCTAGGGGGCCTAATCCCCTCTTTGCATATCTGTCAACTGATTAAAGTTAAACTTCCATCAACAGTGTTTTCCCTTTCCAACTTGCTGGTCTTATTTCATGATGGAATACTGCGCAAGGCTCGTGGCTTGACAGCCCCGTCTCTTGTAAGTACATCAAGTCAGCAAAGACTTAACAAAGAAGAGGGCAGTGTTCCTTAGGAGTGGTTTATATGAATTGTGCGGTCACAGGTTACCCTAGACTAGCTCTTAGACAATTAATCTGAGCTGGTAATGAAAAGAATACGGCTTTCTTTTTAGAAGCTCTGAGCCATTGCAAGTGTTTGTTATTATGAAAATGGAAGATGAGCAGGAAAACGGTCAAAATCAATATCATTTGCATAATGGTTTGGTTGGGAACACCTAAGTGAATCCTTTACACATGCGTGTATGAACTAAGCTCAGCCATGCATTCTGTAACATGAGCTCACTAGGAGTTGAGTTTTTGTGGACTCATGTTGTAAAACTTCTTCTCTACGCGAAACTGGTCTTCAGGCCATATCAGCTCAGCGGTTGATGCAATGGCTGACAGTGATCGACCACACCGAGGTCTTTGTAGAGTTAGCTGCGTCCAGATGCTGGGGGGAGGCCGGCCGATGGTTCTTCATTGCGCTGATTCAAATACTCAGGTCAGTGCGACGGAAGGCAAATGCCCCACAAAATTGGCAACTTATCAGAAGTGAATTCAATATTACAGGGTCATTCCCGGCAAACCACAGAACATGAGGGTGCCTCCGATGTGACCTGAATGAAATTTTCCTGAAGAAATTCTAAAAAAAACAAGACACATTCCAAATGAAGGAAAGCAAAGTTTCAGCTTCATTTCTTTAATACTTTCAATTCTGACTTACATCTATCACCAAGAAAACCGTGATCAACCAAAATCCTACCCTGGTTGGCCACATTGTGATGGCTTTTGGACTACTGAGTACACCTCGCACTCCAGAATCCTTCATATTTGATGTAATTTATGCACAGCGGGGAGGTTAGCATTACCAGCCTTGACATTCAATTTCCACTTAGGGCTGAGTCAGTTTGAATAATTCACTATTCGAATATTCGACCTTCAATTTGATTGAATATCCGAATATTCGGTCGTACCGACTTGCAGATTATTGATGAACAAACCATGTACAAAATCAGTTGCAATAATTCACACAATTGTACATTACGATCAATATAATAGTTTCTCTCATCTAGGAGTATCTCCAGCCATGATTTTAATAGCAAGGTTTAAGAGATAAACAAGACTTCTTGCCCTGTTGAAAATTTCTATTCCTTTTAAATTATTTAATGAATAATTTACTTTTTAAATTGTTGTAAGATTTCTGACGCTTTTCATTTGAATCTGCTTGAAAGAAGCCTCCATAGTGCAATTTTTCTCATGGAAAACAAAAGAAAATTTTCCCTTCCTTTTCATGAATTTTGCATTCGAATATTCAAATTCCAAAAATAATATTTAAATTTTGAATATTCAACAATCAATCAAATATTCAGCACAGCCCAATTTCCACTGGGGCATGAATGTAACATTGTTCACTGCACATTACGGCAATTGGGGAGCCTTCATCCCCCAAAACCCTCCAAATTATTTCAAAACAAAAGCAGAAAAACAAGAGATATAGTCACATGTGAAACCAAAAAACCTCTAAGTTTCTTTTTAAAACATCTCTGAATAACTTTGATGGTCCGCCCTGTCAGATCTATCTTCCGGCTGATCCTCCTCCTCAAGCACAAAGCGGGTGTGAGGTCACAGCCTCCTCTCCAGCCGTTAAACCGAGACAGCGACCTGAAACCATCTACAACTGAAGCAGCGGGAGAGGGGGCAGATACGTCAGAGACTGGAGAAAGACTAGTACTAGGCATGGCTGGGAGGACTTCACGGGTCACCTTCAGGGGCGAGAGGTCGGGTCGGGTTGTGAGGTCGCTAGATGCAAGTGAGTCAAGGTTTGGAATGTCATAGACAGTATCTGAAATGGACTGTGAGACCCACTGCTATTTCTGTTGTCACTGCGTGCCCAATTTGCAACTGGCAAACACTTATTGGCTTCGAGCTGGACCAAGAGAGGGCGCTATTTCCTTAAAAACAGTGGCTCCTTTGGTATTAACTGTGCATTGCTGTTTCACGAACGACTGGGAAACACAAGCGTTGCAGTCGCATCGCTAACAACAAAATCAATACTCCCAACCAACTTTGCTCTTTTCAACTGATGAAGGGATGTTTGTGCTCGAGGCGGATACATAGACCTTGTGCAAGAGTTTTGACCTCTTAGGACCATTACAGGATCCCAAAAGATCAAGAGTTCACAACAAGACCATCACAAGACCTCCAGTCTGAATTCAAGTCACAAGCTAGTCAAATGAACTGCCGCAAAAGCATTCCTCTGTCATTGCTCACCCTGTCACTCGTGAATGATCTTGTGCCTGGTCTTGTTCCTGGTCTTGTGTCTGGTCTCGTGCCTGGTCTTGTGCATGGTCTTGTGACTGGTCTGAGCTAGAAAACTTGTTTGGACACATTCCATGTATGTGCCAAGACTCGCTGTACAGTTTCAGAATAATTCTCAAACCTTTTCAGCCCCCAATATTCACCAGAGAACGTGGAGACTACCCCCCAGCGAGGCAGAGAATGAACGGGACAGTACCTCACTGGAAAATGAACAGCCAACAGAACTCATGGGATTCCCTCTGGCAGGAGAATCTCTGCAGATAGCAAGGCCTCTGTTGCATTGTATCCTTTCCAGCAGGCAGGGTGGAAGCATATGGAAACCTGGGCCATGTCCAAATTATATGGCTGCGGCTTGAAATTACGCACGAGTCTATGGCAGCGGCTGCAGCCAGTTCCCATAGCCAAGTGATTTAGACATAGTCTTACCCAAGCTTTGCCCACAAACTTACAAATGGTTTTGTCTTAAGATGGCAAGCGGGGCTTATGTCGGCATTGTGCAAGAGCATTTAATACTTTGAGAGAGAAATATTATTTTCAGAAATTCAACGTAAGGGCAATTGCTGAGAATGAAGAAAGATGTGTAGGTAATGAGGTAAGCTTAGAAGGAACTTTTTTTAACCTTAAATTGCAGGACTTGTGCCCCCATTTGCTGTCGTTTATTTTACTGTGAAATTTACACGTGAAAATTTTGCCTTAATGACATTATAACTACAGTGACTGCACTTTTAGTGTGGGGTCAGTCGTCATGGAAACCATGGTTGCTCTCTCTGGCAGCGGACATTGCAAGGTGAGAGCGTGATTCCTCAAATTCTCTTTGCAAATTTTGGCAGTGATTCGACTTTCCCTGGTGCAGTGAATTGTCCTGTTAATGGCAGTGTGGTAGATGAAGCAGATGAAATCAGTGCTTACCAAACTTGGTCAAATCAGTCGTAAACAGGACATAAGAGAGAGAAAAAATTTAACTTTGACTGAGGCCAGTGTGCTCTTTCTGCAGTAGTGCTCTCACAGAACAGTTTTTTTGTTCCCAGTAATATGCAGTCTTTTGTTTTCGTGCCACTTCAGTAGATGCACGGATTTCCCCCGCCCCCCGAAACAGTGTAATAGTTGAGACCATCACAAGACCAGACACAAGACCAGTCACAAGTAACAGGGTGAACAGTGACAAAGGAATGCTTTTGTTGCAGTTCATTTGACTAGCTTGTGGCTTGCATTCAGACTGGAGGGCTTGTGTGGTCTTGTGAAGGTCTTAAGTGGTCTCGACTGCAACACTACAAGACAACACCGTTTCCATAATATGCTGCAGGACTGCATCTGTTGAAGATTTTTAGTAAGTCTGCCATGCATATACCAAAGGATACAGTGATTGTTTGTTGTAATAAGTGAGATTATTTATCGTTATTGTTGCCTCAGTTTGCAGATGCTGAAATCCTCTAAACGCTATAATCGTTCAGAGAGAAAGGAATTAAGCAATCGATCCACAATGCTGCTACTGTATTTGCTACGCTCTCCATGCTACGACCGCTACACTGAGTGAGTTTGTAGAATTTCTTGATAGAATTTGTAGAATGTAGAATTTGTAGAATTTGTAGTTTGACATGGACTCTACAGACACTGTGCTTGATTAAAGAATCCATTGAAATGATGAAAAACATCTCTGTTAATGTTTAGTACAGTACCTGTTGAACAAAGATTGTGCGCATTCTGTCGAAAGTGGATGGCATGACGTTTGTCTGCATCTGGATCTGGATTTCGATGAGTGGTGCCAAGGCTGGTTTGCTCCATCCGCTAGGCAGGTTCTGGTGTCAGTGAACCAGCGTCGGATCGCCGATCATGATCCAGATCCAGACAGGCTCCTAGATCACGGAGTGCATGCAGCGGAGAGCTTGTGTAATGTTCCCTCACTTGAGATAGATCTCTGTTCCTATGTGATTTGCATAGGTGGACCCTGGGTAGTTTTTCAGTGTCTGAAAGTTACATGCTTGCCCGTGGAAGCCATTTGGTAGTGGCTGTTGCCTATTTCCCATAGTGCATGTGTGAGCACCAGCCATAGCCAGCTGATATAGACACAGCCACAGCTAGCTACTATTGCCTTCTATAGTTGTTTTGAGCATCGTTTTGAGCCTCCTCTGGTTAAACATGAATATGGCTTGGCTCCATGGGAGGATCGGGGGGGGGGGAATTGCAGGAAAGGTTGATGGGGGGGGTCTATTTTAATTGCTTTTCCTTTCAAAAGTGTGAGAAAGCCCCATCATTTAGCCTCTCCCTGGGGAAGGCTGTAGAAGGTTACATCAGAAATTTCTCCATTCCCCCCCCCCAAAAAAAATTTGTTTCTGGGATCTGACCATGTTTGCTTTAAAGACATTGTACTTTAAATCAAACTTGACTCCATGGGCTGCGTACGCGTTCCTTCATCACTAGCCCCTGGTTGTGTAGAATATGGAAATGACGCTGACTGCCTATTCAGAATGAATATCCCCGATTGTAAAGTCACTCGCGCGCATGTCAAAAGCTACACGCTCACGCTCACGTACTCTCCTGCACGTCACCCATGCATAAATCTGCGTTACTCGTAAACACACTGACTAAATCATACAATACCAGGGGTTAAGATCGTGCCAGAAGGCATGTTGGGGGCAAACATGGCATGGCAAGATCGTGCCCATGGAAACGAGGTTGACATAAAATAGCCATATTCTTTGAGAGAAATAGTTTGATGTGAAGAGATTTTATGATATACAGTGTATTGCATTTTGTTGTGGGTTCTAATGTCTCTTTTTTACATCAGTGTAACGTTTGTAATTGCTTTCAGGTCCAGACTTCGTGCCTTCTTGTCAGGGGTCTCAAACACTCTCCCTGGGGCACGTCTAATCATGAGTAGGTGGCCTTTCCCGCTTTCAGATCGTAAAGTTGCAGTCCATGGGGTGTATCCCTGGTCCACTTCATTTATTGAATGCTCTGAAATTGAAAGGAGCCCGACTGTTTGGTTGTAATAGAAAGGAATAACCTCGCTTTGAAATATTTTCGTTTGGACAATACAGGTTATATGACTTTTTGTCCACAATTTTGGATGATCCGTAAGCGCAAAAGAATGTTTTAATTACAGGTTTTTGCCCTTTCCACCGATGAATATTCGGTGAAAAGTGTACACGCTGGTGTAAAAGGGAGAGAAATCCGTAATTAATCTAACATCTCCCTGACATAAAATGCATCTTCATAAAAGGCGAAAGCACAAGAATCTAATTTCAATTAATTTCAGTTTTACTTAGTAATCCAATTTTTGCCCCTAGTTTGTCACCTTTGCTCTCACACGTAAAGTTTTAGAAAATGTTTACAGGGATCACCTTACTTTGGATTCAAGATGGCCGACTATTAAGGCCAAGTTAACAGTTTTCTTTAAAATTTTGAGGAGTGGCCATAGTTGTGGGGAGGGCCGAGTGGTAGCATTCAGCACTTTCAGCAGGAGTGGAAAAAATATCTGCTCTGTACCAAAACCAGCCATTTTTTGGTCATTTGTAAATCTCTGTAATTTGTATTGGGTCATGACGGAAGGTTATGTTGATGTACCCAACTTCGTGTTTGATTGCTTTGTCATTTTTGGATTCTATCATTTCTGGCAGATCCACTGATAGAGTATCTACCTGTCTGGCAGAGGATCTATTTTTACAACTGGGGCCGATAAAGTGTCTGGTGTGCATCGTCTTCTGCAACTCGCACCCTGTCATCGAGCGTTGTACGGCACAGAACATTTCCTTCAATTAAATGAGGCATGGCTTCGTCGCGAAGTACACTGGACACCCAACCAGTCGTTCACACCATCCTTGGAAAGGTTTTCAGCACAGGTGGTTTATTTACATTCTCTGTTTGGGACCTTCCTCTCTTTACACAGACGAGTATTTGTTTGAAAACAAATAATGGAAAAGAGTTCCGAGTGAGCAGGACCCCAGGCTCTGAGTTTCTTAAAAGCCCACCCTTACCAACTAAAATGACTGTTAGGCTTCCGTTAGGTATCTCGATAATATATATACACACCTTCACAAGTACATCTACGACATGGATTGGTAGTTTGTACAACGCTCAATGAAACAGGTCATATAGCCTAGCTAACGGAATATAATCCGCTTTGTGACACATGGTTTATTCTTTTAACAAAATAACGTAGCATTCAGTAGACTTAGAAACCACTTTAGAAATGATAAATTACAACTGCTCTAATATAAACCTTGCTTGATCTTTACAGAAGGAAAATTGACACTTTTGGCCTCTTTTCAAGTTCAGCAATACTTTTTTTGCCATTGTTCGATATGTTTTCTTTCAAAATGTCCAGAAACGTATCCTTAATTTTTGTAACCAGTTGTGGTTAATCAAAATGAATGGGCACGAACCAACAAAGCGTTTTAATTTCATCTCGTAAGCTTGAATTGAGGTCTCTAATCTGGTTTAAGACATCGTTCTCTTTATAGTACTAGCAGTGTTACAAACTTTTGGGAGTCTTTTGGGAACCAACAAATTTATGGAATGTCCTTTTTTACTGTTCAATACCCTTGGACAAGGAGTAAAATCGTTCAAGACCGTAACTGCACCCAAGACCAAACTTCTTTGTGAGAAAAAATTTTGGGAAATTTTGGTCAAGATTTTATGCAAGAACAAAAATGTCTTGAATTTATCCCGTCTTTGGCAAACAAGGTGGAAGCAGAAAAAACTTATAAAAAAGTTATGTACACAAAGTAGTAAGAGCATTGCAAGTCGTCTGAGAATTTATACTTCCGTCTTTTCATAAATGAAAACATTTTGTTATAAGCATTGTTAAAGTGTCTAAGAATGGTTTGAGCATCATGAAAAAGCACAAGATTTAGAAAATGTATTCAACTTTTTCATCCAAGAAGGGAAAAAATGGCAATGCAATGTATGTAGAGAATTGAAAATGAGAGTTTAGATTGGTGACATTAAGGTATTAAAAATTCAACTACTTTCAAAAAGACTGTGAATGTTTCTGTGAAATTCTTGATCTGGGCAGTCCGAGTTTTGGAAGTCGAATAACGTTCAGCAATGCAAACACATTTGCAGACCCAAACTTTTTATTTCAGAAACTACATATTTTCTAAAAATATTTTTCCTTAAGAAAGAAAACTGAACACTGTGAATGAAAATGAAATTTTTCTTTGGGGGAGAGAAGGAATGACCCTATCTTTTGGAATATCTTTCTGGATTGAATTTCACGTACCTGGCCGTTGTTACAAAACTTGAAACTCTTGGCAGCTAAAGTAGTTTTAGGAATATAAAACAATGAAGCAAAATGGGGAAAGTGTGATTCTACAATACAAAGCATAAGTTGGACTACTTTCTGACCAAAGTGCTGGCGACCTTTAAGCGACTGGTCTGAAAAATATAAAACAAAAGATACATGTAGATGTGTAAAGACGAGTGACATCAAGGGTCCATTTCATCAGTCAGCACCGTGTCATTCAATTGAGACCTCTGCTAAAAACCACCATTTGGCAATGGATGGATAAGGAAGAGTCTGGGTGCCAGACACATTTACCTTCTAATTAATGAAAAATTATGTAATGGGCAACAAGATCTTCAATTTTGCAGTGGTCGTAAATTTTGAATTTATATAAATTTGTTCCTTTTTGTATTAGAATACGGTACTAATACATTCTTCAGGCAAAGAATTCAAATACTCGGAAAAACTAAGCTTGCTGATTTCTGATGTAACAAACCACAACATCTACAACAATCACTCATATGCTGTGAACAGTCATGGCATGACAACTGTAATTAACATAAGAAACATATTCATGACTTCAATAGTCCACCAATGAGACTTGCTCATCCTTTTGAAGCATCAATAGGCAGCCAATCACTTTTTCCTCTGCTGTGCTGATTTGCATTAATTACCTTTCTCTGATTCATATATAATGGCATTGGCAAAGGTCTTATGCACCAATGTGATTTACGGTTTATTCTTTCATAAAAATATATGATGTAGCCCACTTCTGTCCTACTCTACTTGGAAAGAAAGGCTACAGCACCCTTAATTGGTTAAAAAAATGGCTGATGCCAATTTATGACATAAGCCGATGCGTACATGCTACAGTTATACTGCACAATGTAGTTTCCATCTGGTACCAGCCAGCACGCTATCTACAAAATTAAGTGATAAAAGCCAACTTTGGGGGAAATTTCTAAAAATATCGTGGTTGATCATCACGGAATAAGCAGGGTTGGACTTTGTGCCCTGAAACCTAGAATTCTGTGATTTTCTGAGCTGCTTCACTGACTGCGATCTGACCATAGGCCTACATGTATGTACTGACGGTGTTGGACTTTGCTTACATGTACGGTTTCCTGTGGGGTTTCAAATCCGTCATCAACAACTGGTTCCCATCAGAGAGCGCACCAAATGAACAGAGTGATGTAATCAGTACCCAGACTAACTGCAATCGAGCAAACCTTGGCCATCCACAGGTGAAGCAAATAATAGTTCACAGTTTTTACTAGCATTTCTTTACCATTCAGTGCACTCCTGTGCTTAGCATGGAGGGTTTGCATGGCTGCCATCTTGCAGACCAGTGATTTTGTTCCACAGGGTATGTGCCATGTTCTGCAGACCAGAAATACTAAAAATCTGCAGCCAGCCCCTCCAAAACTCCACTAAGCCAGTCCATAATCCTTTCTAAGTTTTACCACACTAAAACTACACAATTGCATTCTGTACACAGATTCTATATTAAGAAAAGAAGCTACGTATTTACAACAGATTTGATTCTTGTCAAAAATATGGACTGCTATTTGAATTTTGTTCTATTTTCACATCAAAATTTAGTCTTTCTCAATCATCTTTAGAAAGGATTCTGAACAAGGTATTTGAAAATCTGCCCTCCAGTCCCCTCCAGTCCTTTGCAGAACAAACAAACAAAAACTGTTGCAAAGATGGCACAGATCTACTTTTAGGCTAAAATCACGAAGAGAAACATGAATTTAAAACGTCATAGCGCGACCATGGAATAAATCTCAGTGGCCTAGAAAGATAAAAAGCAACCTTTAAAGATACCAGCCGCATTAACAAATGTTACCATGGTTACCCTGTTCTATGAATAGGTTTTCAACCTGCCTGTCCTAGATGAGACAAGGGTCACAATGCTTCGTGTTAGGATGTTTCATTTTGTACTTGCAGAAAAACCTCACCTGACACTGGTTTCAAAGCTGACAGAGGTTTGCCTTATTACACAGGTCATGTAGCTAGTCTTAATTCAAGGCAGCAGTATTGCATGTGAACTCCAGTGACTTGGCTCATATCACAAGTTACAGGAAGCTAACAACAAGGTCAAGTGTGAATGGTTTGGGACATTACTGGCTTGCAAAATTTGACACAGATTGTGCTTAAAGTTTGAAAAAAGCGGCAGGGTTCTTTCCCTATGCACAGCAACGTTATTCAGACTGCCTCATTGCGCACACACTGTACAGTCCAAATTACCGCTACATACATCCACAATTCTGGCAAACCATAAACGCTGTAATTCCGCGCTAGACCTTCACAAAACCTCTGCAGTTCAAGTCAACTGCTTGGTATGAAAAAAGAACCCCATTACTGTCTTGAAGCAAGACTAACAGTTCCTTTAACCCACACTCTTCTGATGTGATAGGGGAAGCCCAGTTGGGGCAGGGCTTGGGAAATACAACCAACATCTTGTCTCCAATCAACCTGGACATTTCTGAAAGTGAGTAGTGGTGATGTTGATGTCATTGTTTTTGTTTAGGCGGGTGGTGTTATCATTTGATGTGCATCGGTGGAGGTGTTGCTATGTGGTGATAGACTTTGTCGGGTTTCCGCTTGCGTCGTCTCTCACCGTCCTCCCCGCTACTGGCGGGGCGGGCCGGCATGGTGAGGGGGGAGTTGTCTTCCACCCTCTCCAGCAGGTGGGTGTAGTCGGGCAGATGTCGCCCCATCAGCTCGTTGAAGCTTCGGTCCAAGGCTGTGGCAGTCCGGCCGATTTCCGATTCCTCCTGTGTGAAAAAATGAGGAAATGAAACAAACGACGGATCTGTTTGAAGTCGCAAGCTGCGATGCGAGACATTCCTATAAAGAGGAAGGCAGGATATTGATCTTCCAGACCTTTATCATGTTTGTCTTGTTCCCTGTAGACCCATTGGCAATAGTAAAACAACTTCACATATTGATAAAAGGGAACAGACAATTTTTCCTTTCAGCCTCAGTTTGGTTACATTACTTTAAATGGTAGAAAAGCAAGATGGCTGCCCCCCATGATAGAGGTCACTCTGGTCTCTGTTCTCACCCACACCCAACTTTTGCAAGATTGAACAGACACCGCAAGCCAGTTTATTGACAAGTTTAATGGGAAATTCGTGTCGCCTTTGTGAAAAAATATCTGTTACTTCTCAAGCACATCAAACATAAATTTCCACTACTCTGGCCTCAAATCAACTGCACTGTACATCTGGTAGCAGCAAAGCACCTGTTATGGAGCCTAATTAAAAGTACTATCCTAAACAACGTCGAGCACATCACGTATATTTTTCCACTGCCGTAGCCCAACACCTACTCCTTATTTACAAATGCAAGTTGCGAACCTTCAGTTTGAAATCCAACAAACCTGTATCTTTAAAAAAATAGATCTGCACTTTAAAGTACATCAAACGTAATTGTCCACACTCGTGGCCTGATACCTACCCCGTTGTACACGTGGCAGTTACGAATCATCAACTTGAAGTCGTCAACAAACTCTAGAATGGTCTGGTAATGGTTGAAGTGTGAGGTCTGGAGCCTGCTTCGAATTGTGCTCAACTCCATTGGGTGCTGAATAATCTTGTGATAGTTAGGTACCTGATTAGAGAAAACATTGAAAGTAGAAGATACTTTTGTAGCCTTCAATAAACTGACTCATAGTTTATTTGAAATGCTCTTAGGCACTTTTAAACCCAATATTGCTATTTGAAGTATTTACTGTTTAAAACTGGTTCGTCATTTGTACAAAGCTGGGCTCTGTCCAAGTCTACTGGCTATGGCTATGTGCAATACATCTACAGGAAGTGACAGCAGCCACTAACCAATGGCTTCCATAGAGGTAAATATTATATCCAGCCACAGTCATAACATTTGGATGTGGTCAGATTTTTATGTGGACTGACTTACCGATCGGCTGACTGGCTCATGGAATGGTATACTATCTTCGCTGCAGTAAACTTCTAAAAGAATTTTCTCACATAGCTGAAAAAGAAAACAATAGGCGGTAACGTGAAGTAAGAAATATCCGGGGACAATCTTTCAAGTTCTGAGGTGAATACCTTGCAATGCTTTTACCCTACCATGAGTAACGGTACTCTGCTGTTAGTAAAAGTACTACGCCAAGAAGACAAGTACTATGCCATCAAGACAAGAACTATGCCATCAAGACAAGTGCTGTGCCACCAAGACAAGTACTATGCCATCAAGACAAGTGCTTTGCCATCAAAAAAAGTGCTTTGCCATCAAGACAAGAACTATGCCAGACAAGAACTTTGCACTCAATGTTGTTGACATACACGTATGTAAGATTATTTCAGTACGGTTTGAAGGTGCTGATGGTTGCAAATACACCATGCTTGCCGAGCAATGCCATTTCGCACTGCACAGTCCTAATTTGCCATGCTATCAAAACCATTCTTTATCATTGACTTAAGAGCCCTCTGCAACCTTCGACCTGACCTACCATCTTTTCCCTCTCTGGTAGTGCTGAACTGATCCGTCGTTTCCGCCCACTATTTGAAGGTGATTGGCTCCTGGGGTTGGCGATGTTGTCCGGCGACTGACAGAGGGTGCACACCCAGGAATCACTGGATGGAAATCGTACAAAAGGAACAATTGACATCAGGAAAAAATATGGCATCGGTATTACTTGAACGGTGAAACCATATGCAGCAAGGTA